ATCCGATGCGATATTTGTTTGTTCGTTTATTATTTTGCCGTCGAGGTTTTAAGTTCGTATATTTCCGCATTTTCTAGTACGTTTAGTCGTTGGCCTTTATGTTGTACATGCAGTAGTTTCGCTGCCGTTCTTATATGCGTTGGTGAAGATTTGTTGTTAAACATGTGGTTAGCAAAATTTGACTCTGGTATTGCGTTCGGTGTCTGTGTCTTTTTGTTTTGGTCTCTTATATGCTCGCGGAATCTTGTTTTTATTTTACGTCCTGTTTGACCTATATAACTATGCTGGCATTTGCAAGTTAGTTATCCAATGGGTCTTCTTGATTTGTGGCGTTACGTAGTATCCGTCCCATGTTGTAATTTGTTCTGAATGATGTGTGAAAGTTGTATTACCGGAACAGCAATGGTTTCCGTTTTTACGTTGACTTTCCAGTATAGGTTAAACCGCCCAATTTTTGTTATTATTTTGTTCTTTGTTTAGCTTTTTGTTTTTGTGCTCCCTTTGGATTTCCTCTACCAGATCTCTCTTGTATCCGTAATTAGCCGCTATGGCATATATTGCATAAGTTATTTTTTTATCCTTCGTTTGTTAGTGGTATTCGCTCAATTCTACTGATCATCTGTCTAAAAGCGGCATTTTTAATGCTGCTGAGGATTGTTCGAAGTATTATGAATTGTCGTATCTGTGGCTGTGGGATCTAAGTAATTTAGCCTTCCTTCCATTTCTTGTTCCATTGTGAATTTTATGTTGCTGTGCTGTTTGTTGAGGTATTCCAATATCTGTTCTTCATTTTTCTTTGTTATGAGACATATTATGTCATCAACGTATCTGGCGTAGAGCGTCCAGGTACCTTTCTTCCAAATTCTGCATGAATACCTCCATAAGGATCGCCGATGTGGAGTTGCCCATGCTTAGCCCATTTGTTTGCATGTACATGTTGTTAAATTTGAAGTAATTTTGATGCAACGTCGTTCTGAGTGTATTAGTTATCTACTCGGCGATTTCTGTGTTTCCTGTTTTTTCTATCAGTATTTTGAATATTTCCTTATCTACAATTGTCTGCTCGATCTCCCTTTTCTTATTGTAATTCCGGATATTATGTTTGAGTCCTTTTTCCAAAATTCGCTCTTCTTATTTGTTGATGGGTAAGGCTTACGAACCTGACATGGAATTCAGGTTTCTCTCTCCGTTGTCTATTCACTCCTTTTTGATTCGTTTGTAACTATTACCTTGCAGTAAATTAGAGTACTCAGTTAATGAAATATCGGAGTTTTCGTATTTCTGAAATTTACCGATAAACGGGAAGCAGGTTTAGTTTTAGTCCAATTTGAATAATTTTCGACGAATTGCTTTTCCGTAACAAGGTTATTACGAAAAATTAAAAAAATTGTCATTATTAAAAAATGTATAAAAATCTAATTTTCTGCTACATGCAATGTTCTATGGTAGGCGGGCGTGGTTATTTCCTTATTTCAAATATTTTCAATAGATTTCTTCACTAGAGCCTAGGCAAGGCTCGTACCGAGTTTTGTAAGGATTGGTGAAGCGGCTACTGGAATACAGCATTTCACCTTAAGTGGGCGGGGTCACGTCCATTTTCCAAAAATTTCATAAGAATATTATTTTTTACCAAAATTCTACCTCACATACTATGTAGAGTAATTTCGAATGTAGAGCGAAAATCCCGTATATGGGAAGTGGGCGTAGCCACAGTCCGATTTCGCCAATTTTCAATACCAATCTACCTTGGATTAAGGGCAACCTTTATAATACTTAAATTTTTGCTCGAGTTATTGTGTACACGGACGGACGGACGGATAGAATATACTTCTCTATTCATTCTGAGCATTTATATATACATTTGTCTATATCTATCTCGATTCTTTTTGGCCGTTACAAACTACCGTTATGTGAACAAAGTTATAATTTCTTTATGCACAAGAGCGCTCGGGTATAATATGACATTTCCACGATTCGTAATTCGCTCTCTCATTCATAATTCGCTCTCCCATTCGTCACTCGCCATCCAATTACCCTTCGAATTACATAATTCGCCATACAAAATTTTGAGAGCCAATTACCTCATTTGTGCATGCATTGCAGGTAATTCAGATCGAATTAATCGGAAATATATCGAAGTTTTCACCGGCCTTGTTCCATTTGCTGGCACTTTTTCTAGTTGCTGGAAAATTAATTAATAAAATATTCTCTATATAAATTAAAATCTTTGATGATAACTTAAATTTTTGCTCCATCTTCGATATTTGCAGTTCACAAAAATAATAATAAATAGCGAAGAACAAGAAGTAGATCTGCCAAACGAATTACTAATTCACGTATTACTTAGAGAGCGAATTACGAATCGTGGAAACATCATATTTAAAACCATGGTGAAACGAACAGAGAAGGAGGCGCTGATTGTGTAACCGCTAAATCTCTCTTGAAAATTTTGACAGAAATATGACGTCATAGGAGATTTCGTGTATTGCCTGTGTAATATATATATCGTCGCCCATCGATCAATTGCAAAACCGCCTATCGTACGACACTCAAACATTGCCTTGGTAGAGGGTATTTTCTCTAGCAATTAGTTTACAAATCTGTTGGTTTAATTACGATTTTATGATTTCTATGCATAAATCTCGATGTTTGGAGTTCGGGGTTACCAAATCTCATTTTTGCCATAACGGCCATTTAGGAGGTTTTGCAATTGGTCGATGAGCGGTTTTGCAAAAACATCGACGATATACATATACATATGCAAAACATATACATACTGATAGATCTCTCTCAGCTCTCTACACCGGCAAATCTTCGATGACGTCATATTAACATTACTCCCCCGAATTTCACATCATCTTGTATTCTATCGGTCTTGATTAAAAACATACTCGTAGTACATGGCGTATGAGTAACATTCTTTCCTGCTCATATTTCATACAAAAAAAAATCATTACGCATTATCATTTCACCATTCACAACTTGTTAATGTAACCATCGATTTTCTTCGTTAGTTGATAGATTTTTTTGAAAAAATTTATAAAAAATTTGTTAAGTTTTTTTTTTTAATTTTACTATCTTCAATTTGTTTCGGCTGACATATTAAACAGCAGCGGTCTTTAAAATTCAAATCTTTTTATCTTTTTTTTTTACAAAAATTCTTAATTGTTAAAATCTAATTGCATGTCAAAACTTTTTACATACAAAAGAAGCGATTTAAATCAGCTTATGGTACGTTCGCCTAACTCAGGAGCACAAACGCTTAGTACTGGGCCTTGCAAAGGATGGATCGTTGCTTCTAGAAGCAAAAAAAATTTACCAAGAAAGAAACTGCTGCAGTTTTTATTTATTTTAATTTAATTAATTTATTTTTTTTTAATTTAATCTTTGTTTGTATTTCATATGTAAGATGGAATTTTTGAGAAATATGTTTCAAAACAGCACCTGATAACCAAATCCATAAAATCTTTCAATTAAATTAACTCTTTAGCTGAACGTATGATTATCACATCATATGTATGTACATATTGTATATGTATTCTGTTTTTTTAATATATACTAATAAGTTACATACATATATTTTTATAAACGAAAATATCTACTTTTGAAAGTCCCTTCATGTGAATGATATGACTGGTCCTGCAATTATTTTTCGAAAGTTTTGATTTTGACCGGCTTTTGGAAACAACTTGCATTGCCATCTGTGGCTGTACTCTTAGTGTATTTTTAAAGATGTATGTGTACATGTATATGTATGTAAATTTTTCATTTAGTCATACCTGCATACAGATTTAAACCCAAATATTTTGCAGCTTTTAGTTACAAAGCTGCTCTGTTGGTAAACTGTGATAAAAAGCTTTTACTTGCCGAACGTCGCCCAGGGATGCTGTGGTGGATTCAGTTGATATCTTTTGCTTATGTATCACAATTTGCTTCTCCCCAATACGCAGGTCCTGGCACCTTTAAGCTCCGCAGCATACACATTCCTAGGATTAGTACTTGTAAAGGAATTCTCTGTGTACAGATTTTCCCTTTGACGGGGAAACTGCTCGAAAGATTAGCCTCTACGTAAATGTTATTAACTGAAATTTCATTATGAAAAATTTAGCATCTTAAAAATAAAAGAAATTCAGTTTAATTGTATTTGTGTTGGCTGATATAAAGTAAAGGACTCACTGCTTGTAGTTTCGTTGGAAATCACTCTGAACTAATTACATAAGAGTTCGTGATATAAAAATTTCGAATTAAATACATTTTCTAAAAAAAATATCCTGTGGTTTAATTTAAGGCTAAAACGGTTAATTAATGTGAATCAACTAAGTTGATTTTGTAGCTGTGAAAAAGTGTATAAAAAGTATGCGAGTAATTAAAAGCAATATTAACATCGATGACATACTTATACCATATTTGCTCAATCAAAGTACATTTGTAGGCAACTTGAAGGATGCATTGCGAAAAAGGCAATCAGTTCTGAAATTTTAAGCAAATAAATAAAGTGAATGAGGTTTTTACAAATGCATTTGAAACCCATTTCGATAATTTACTATGTATGTATGTATGTGCATATGTATGTCAATATGTAATTCATTTAAAATTCCACCTTAATATTTTGAGCAGGGATATTAGTATACATGCTGTTGTATATCCGTATCTCAACTTACGTAAACTCAGCATGTACATTTTATGTATGGATGTATGGATGTATGTAGCTATGTATATATGTGTTTATGTCTGAACTGGCACATTCACATACATATATAGAGATTTGCACATACATCCTTACAAACGTACATACATTTGTATGAACTTATGTATCTACATATGTGCAATCAAAGGATGCATGCATTTTAATTTGCAATTATAATTAACTAATAAATGCTGATTATGAAAAGCTTTTACTCCTACATAAATACATACATACATATTGTGCATACATATGTATGTACATATGTTCAACAAAAAAAAGTTTTTTTAATGAAAACATTCCCAATCAGGTCACTTGCTGTAATGTTCCAAAGCTTGAAAAGAGTTCGAACAAAGTATGATTGTGTCAATGTATTAAGTGTATGTGGATAAAAAAATATGTGATAAAATAAGGACCTACGTACATCAAGATTCGCTTAACAGTTACTTAATTTGCAAAAAATACAAATAGTATTCCAAACAGGCGCTTATGATGAGTATTGAAAACGTAGCATTACCGTTATCAACGTTAAATACACCGCTTGCTTAGATCCCAATTAAAATGTCTATTACCAGTGTACATAATAAAGCTGATGAAATGGATATCGGCACGCAAAATGATAAGGAGAACACAGGTGGGTAATTTTTAACGAACTTTGGTGCAATAACAATATATACAGCGTTTTGAATAGCAGGACTATTATTTCTATTAAAATATAAATAAATGGATATTATCTACTACATATTTTGGCTATTAATTTCAAATCAATGTTCTTCTGTTTTACGGGAACGTTCGCATGCGTCACGGTGGAGTTCGCCTGTTATTTCATCGCATTCTTTTACTACCCAAGGTAATTTTTTTAGGTTCCCTAATTTGCTAGACATGCAGTCCCAAATGAAATGAAATGATGGGAAAGATTGAGGTCACCCTTTCACTCAGATAAAACTTGGAAATAATTTCTTTAAGCTACCTTTAGCAATTCTCGCTATATTTGTCTGCACAGAATTCAGTTGAAAACCAAAAGATTGTTGAATTTGCAAAACATTTGCAGTGCGTTAGGCTTCAGATGTTCTCTCAGTAGGGTGTTCAAACAATATTCCATTTTTTTTTGGTGGCTGCTATTGCAGAGTTGTTGGAAGTGCGTGCTACCACCCTGTGAGACCTGGACCCGATTCCTGGTCCGAGCAACATCTAAATTAAAAGAAAAAAATAAATAAACTAACAGCGGTTACCATCGGCAGGCGAGGGCAAATCTCCGAGTGTATTTCTGCCATGAAAACACTTTCCATGAAATCCATTTCCCGTTCGGAGGTCGCGGTCCTTCATTTGTGTAACAACATCAAGCCGCACGCACACCACAAATTGAAGGAGACGTTCGGCCAATCACTTGGTAAAAGTGTAAGCGCCAAAATATTACATATATTATTATTTTTATCGCAAAATTGAATTTCATGCATGCCCCATTTTGCAAATCGCTCTAGGGCAGTGTCTGGTAGCCAGTAGCCTCGAGAGCCTGTGTGTGCTATGTGTACGTGTGTATTTTGCCTGGCACTACTCTAGGGATATTAGACAGTTCAACCCAACATAAAAAAAAATGTTTAACAGCGGTCGCCCCTCGGTAGGCAATACCTCCAAGTGTATTGCTGCCATGAAAAACTTTGGAGAATATCTATCTTCGCGTTTCTGAGAAATTGCATTCAAAACTTCAATCGCGATTTCCCACAACCTGCCGAAATCAACATACGACAATCTTTTACCCAGGCGACGATATATGTAAGCGAATCTATTATTAATATTATTAATTTAAGGCTATAATTAATCCGGATTAAGGGAGCAGTTGATTCTATCAAAATTGTACTCTGAATGACGGCAGTATTGTGGATTAAGCGAGCCAAGAGGTCGTTTTTACAGTTTCTTTAATTATTACTTTTATTTATTTTTAATGTAATTGTAGTTGTTGTGGAAAAAAAGTAATTCTAAAAAGATAAATATGATATAATATATATATAATTAAATATGAAATAATAATATGAAGTAAAATAAAAAATGTAATTGACGGAAATTTTTAATATGTGTTCACCCAGCGGTTTTTGTCCTACTTCTTTATTTACTTATTTTTAAATTATTCGGACTTAAAGCAATCATAAGTTTTCTTGACTTGTCAAATGTCACTTTTCACGACCATGCTCCTAAAGCACTTACAATTTAGATGTAAAATATTTATCTAATACCTAAAAGTTAAGTAGTGGACGATGTAATCGTAAAATCTAAATAGCTCGCATGTAGGTATATCTTCGTTAAGAACAATCTAGATTGTTTAGGTGCGACAGATATTAATTTATACGCTGTCAAGAATAAATCCTGAAGTGCGAATAAATAAACCGACTGAGAATTGCATGGCTCGCCTTCATATTTGTGCGGTGCATAATACATATTTAATTTTTATTTTATAGCTATATATACAATGGACCAGGAGTTAAATATGCCGCGAAAAAAACTCAAGTTGTACGATAGTTCGTATCGGTCGAATTTATTTGTGGAAAAAGCGAATAAATTTCAGACTATGTTCCATAACAATATTTGGATGTTCGGTTATACTCGGCTCAGAAAATATTTCAAATTTGAGCAAGACAAAAAAAGGTATGTGATACACTGAGCTACCGTTTCGATTAAAATTCAAAAAATATCCCAAATGAAGCGTTACTTGAACGTATGCGAACCGATTTAAAATAGAACGGACATAAACTACACGAAATAGGGAATGTGAAACTATTTTGTTATAATGAAATCAAGGAAATAAAAAATTGTCACTAATACCACAACTGAAACTTTCCTTCAAAGTAAATACAAAAGCAAAATACAAAAACAAAATTGGTCTAGATCCTTGGTATCGGCTCATTTTAGCTAGCATCCAGAACAATGTTCCTGTCAAAATAAAAAATACATATTACCAAAATCTTTCTGGTATATTTTCTCGAAAAAATAAATTACAGAAATATACAAAACATTTCACGACAAAAACATTATCTGCGAATTCGTCAAAATTTAAAGAATATTGCCAGTTCCAAATGGAAATACTACAACAAAAGCAACAAATTTTGTCGGAAAGAAAGGTGGCTCGGCTGAAGTTGAAGAAGTACATTTGCCGACAAAAGGCCTGCAACCACATTGCAAAACAACTGGTACCGAACAGAGAAGATAGTACACAGTTACCAATTTTTCCCAAAATGCGGTACCTGTTGGAAACGAGACGTCAATGCTGGGAAAAACATACTCTACCTGGTAGAATGTATAATTAATAAACGCGAAAAACACCTACATTTTTCCAAATAAGATGTCATTATTTCATATATGGCGAAAAATATGTACATCGGACTGTGAAAATAGTTTAAGTCTAATTAGTTACACGTTGTAATAATCCACTTGTCGACATGGAAACTCTTCCCACCGTCCCATCACACGGTTTAGTTCACTCAATCAAATGTAATTCTTTGTGGCGGCAGTTACAAATATACATATCGTCGCTTAAAGTACAAAACCGCGTAACTGACATTGGCTGCCAAAAATTGGATTTGCTCACACAAGTTCTTGTCTCAATCCTTATCCATTTGTCCTGAAATATACTAGCCAAAAATGCGTTTTCTTTATCAAAAAAGAGAACCATTTGAAATATGGGTGTTTTTACTCTCTAGAAAATAATGTATGCAACCTCACATACGCGGTTTTGCATTTTCTTGATACGCGATTTTGCATTTTGTTAATACGCGGTTTTGCACTTTAAACGACGATATATATATAAATACGGTCAATGTGGGCGAATGGTTTTGTGAGTTCCTGTTGATGGGTCCCGATGTGTACATGATACCTCAGACGATCGAGGTAGGCCTTCGTATCTTATATTTCTGTTTGCTTTTTATAAATGAGGGGTAGCACTGATCCATTTATTTAGAACTCATTTATTTCCGTGGGCTTCACACTATGGTTTCCACTTTCCACGCTATAGGAGCGGACACGCCCACTTCCCAATTACTCCAACTTCTTTCTATTATCATTGAATTGGTTTCATACACCTACATATCGTCACCTTAATTCACAAAGGCTCTAACCAACAACTTTTTTAACCGACTTCCAAAACGATATGTATGTTTTTGGTAGTAACATTTCCAAATTCTTATTGAAGGTTATTGTAATACATCCTCACAACTCTGTGAAAAACGCAGTTCCAAAAAAAGTGTTGGCTAGGGCCTTGGGAATTAACCCCCCCTATTATGAATTTGTTGTGCGATGTACGATAAACACTTATATTCTGTTATCTCCTATTACGAATTGATGTTTGTCAAATGAAATCCGATAGTTAGCGTAGCTGATTTGTGTTAGTTCATAGTAACAAGTAACTGATCGGATCTTAACCAGATTAGTATGGGACCACCTCTGAGACACTACCTTTCCGAATTATCCAAATCGGTTGACGTGGTTCAAACTTATGCAGTAACATACATAAAAAAAAAAGAAGAAAAAAAAAAAAATTCCGACGAACTGATAACCTCCTCCTTTTTTGGAAGTCGGTTAAAAAGTGAACAAAAACTACAGCCATTCACAATACTACATCTGTCGGGCGTATGAAAACGATAATACGAAAACTGATTTCATACGATACGATTCCAAGCATTTATCGTCTATCGTAGAGGTGGCAGATATTTGCGTACCTGTGACTTTGTCACGGTTACCCAAAAGTCACGGGTAACTGTTGTGACAACTTCCAAAAAGTTAACGTGACAGACTGTGACAAAGGAGCAGTCGCAATGATATTTTTGTATAGGATTTCGCCTTCCACAATAGCAGTAACAGTCACAGTCGCTGCTACAAACTGTGACTGTGATAAAGTAGAAGTCGCAATTACATATCGAGAAACTGCGACCAGTGACAGGTTATTTAAGACTAAAATCTGATTAATATTGTTTAATATTAAAACTTCGCACCATTAAAAACGAGTGTGAATGACCAAAACAAACGAGGAAAATAGTCAGTGATGCCAAATAAATTAATAATGCCCTTAGTTCACTCGGTAAAAGATTTCTGTTTTGCCACTTTGTTGTCACTGTTTTTGTAACAGTCACGGATAAAAGTCTCTGTGACTGCAAAGTCACAGTCACAAATAACGTAGTTCTTCAAAAGTCATGAGATCGCCCATCTCTAGTCTATCGTATGGAAATTTATAATAGTAGGTGTTGTACATTAGACCGTACCAGAAGTTCGCTGTACACCACTGAGTCTAAAATATGTTTGCAAGACAAATTTGCAAAACATGTTTTTTTGGCCGCACTTTTTCGTGATACCTTCGGCATTTACAATCGCGTCTTAAAGTAAGATATACATATGTATCGATACTCTATGTAGTCTGAGGAGAAAAGTTTTGTTGTTCCAGAGTTCATTGACCCTCTAGATCTCAGTCATTAATACCCTAAAGTACCACCCTAATGTCAGTGAATTTAAACTCGTAAACACTATGTAAATATGTACATAGATATATTTTACATTCATACATACTTAATCATCTTGTTTTATTCTATTACAGATCCCTGCGAGAATTCGCAGTCGGAGCCTGCTAATGAGAAATCTAACATCGACGCAAATTTATACTTGTACGACGATGAGTTGGACACCAGACCACACGTATCAACGTTTATTTCATCGCTTGCCAATTATGAAAATACCATACCATCAGCCACTGACCCGGATTCAAAGACAGCTGCACCTGCAGCTCGCATGGGTAAGATTGTACATCGTAAAAATATGGTAACAATAGATGATGCTCTTAAGATTAAGATGCAGCCGCTTATATGATTACGTACATAGGACAATCAACGTTAAATTTCCTTACATATTTATACCTACTTTCCGCATCGAGGACGTTGTGTAACCAATGAATGGTTATTATAGGACTATCTAGGATCTTTTTGGAAGTACATAATTTATTTTGCATGACAATAAATTGATGCGATAAATGAACAGTTACCGTACCTCATACATATAACGTTAATTTTCCGCCCACTCCAATAAATGCTATTACTACATATGATAAGTTAGAAAATAATATTTATTTTAAATAAAAAAATCTACATATACCTAAATACCTACATATTACAGAAACCGATAATACAAACGTATGTATGTATGTGAGAATGAGAAAATCGATGTGTGTCGAAGATTTCTATGCTTACGGCATAAAGTTAAAGGTATGTATGTACACTAGGATGGTCCATAAAAGCATGTGAAGAAGTAAAGTCGGAATTTTTGTGCTCTCACCCCCTAGGATTGTACTATACCGAAAAAATAATACCCTATTTTTATTTTGAAAAAACAAATTTAGAGGTCGCTCAAAGCGATCAAAGTTTTCCACGTATTTTATATGGGAATGGCATAGAATTCTTGAAAATCAATATGTTTATCTCCAGAAGATTCCCAATAATAATACCTAATTATTTATTACACCATTTTTTTATAGTAACTTTATTTTATAGGTCCGCCAAAACCCCCAGAAAATGCAATGGGGGCATAAATAAAAAATCTTTAGTATAAAAAAAATAGTTAAATAAACAATTGTGTATGTTTATTGCAAGGCTTCTGAAGATAACCAGAGTTTTCCAATCGAAATATATTGACTTTCAAGAATTCTATACCATTTCTACGAATCTAAATAGTATGTATTTTATAACCCTTGGAACAGTGTCTTCAATTTTTATTCCAGTGCTCGGAGCAGTTTATCTGCAAACACGGTTTCTTGAAAATTAGTTTCTTCAGGGTTTTCAAAATCTTAATCCTAAAACCAGTGGCGGATTTGAATATTTGTCACCCCTAGACAATTCAGCAGTTTATCTGCAAACACGGTTTCTTGAAAATTAGTTTCTTCAGGGTTTTCAAAATCTTAATCCTAAAACCAGTGGCGGATTTGAATATTTGTCACCCCTAGACACTTCAGAATTTACCGCCCTTTTTTCGATAAGAAAAATATTTTGAGGTAACGGTACCAGTTTTGGAACGATTAGAAGTAGATAGTAATATTCAAAGTTTGTTATTTACTATACTCTTATTAGAATTTAAGATGAACCAGTAATTTTTAGCAAAAAAAAACCGACTTAAAAATATATATGTATGTATATATATATTTCATGATCCAATGGTCGGATCTAAACCAGATTAGTACTACCTTTCTGATGAATTATCGAAATCGGTTGATGCGGTTCAAAGTTATGCGGAAACATACATAAAAAAAAAAGATTCCGACGAACTGATAACCTCCTCCTTTTTGGAAGTCGGTTAAAAAGTAGTATTTGCCTTGAGTAAAGGTTTTCAACTAAAAAAAAGCCATCATCAACAAACTTTTTCACTTGATAACTTATAATCTCTAAAATACTAAATTAGTATTTTTAAATATTATCATTTAAATAATATCAAAAATACCTAACAGTGTTGCCCTATTTTCTGATTACGTAATTGAATCTCAAATGTATGCCTTAAAATGTACAAGCACAAATTCTACTTTCAGTGCAGCTAACTTGAAAAAAAAAACTTCAGCTCAATGCCGCCCCTAAATTTTGCCGCCTTAGGCACCTGCCTATGTTGCCTTTACGCTAAATCCGCCACTGCCTAAAACGCTTAAAGTGGATACTTTGAACTTGAGCGAATTTATTGCGAATCGTCAACTTAGTTGTTTAATAGTTATTTTCTCAATAACGATCGGAACACCTAAAAACTTACTCATACCAGATTCAAAACTGCATGGAAAGATCTATTTAAGAGTAGCAATTTCATCACTGAGGTAAGAGCATTCGAAAATTGGTGCAGCCGTGTAATTAAGCTCTGTTTAGTGCCAAATCAATTAATATGTTTATCTCCAGGAGATTCTCAATAATAATACCCAATTATTATTATAGAAACTGCAAATCTTAAGTAAATAAAGAAAATAGTTAAATAAACAATTGGGTATGTTTTTTGGAAGTCTTCTGAAGAGAACCAGAGTTTTCCAATCGAAATATATTGATTTTCAATTATTCTATACCATTTCTACGAAAAGTTGTTTTTCTCTTATAAAATACATCAACAACTTTGAGCACTTTCAGCGACCTCTAAATATTTTTTTATTTCAAAATATTTTTTTTTCGATATAGAACAATCCTAGGAGGTGAGAGCATAAAAATTGGAGCTTTACTTATTTTGGACCACTCTAATGTACACTGAGCAAAGAAGTGTATTGACTCGCGACGTTTTCAAGCAAATAGGTCATTTTAATTTACGTATTGAGAAAACTCAGGCAAAACGTTAGTTTTTAAGATTATATACAAAGTAACAGTAAATTATCCAGATTCCGGAATATTTAACGACCTTAAGGCTCAAAGTTCTTGAAAAAATTAATATCGATCACACAGAATTAACGAATATTTTCTTCGGGAAACGCTTTACTAAAAATTTGGAATCTAAATATGTATTTTATAGCCCTTGGAACAGTGTCTTAAATTTTTATTTCATTGCTCGGAGCAGTTTATCTGCAAACACGGTTTCTTGAAAATTAGTTTGTTCAAGGCTCTCAAAATCTTAATCCTAAAACGCTTAAAGTGGATACTTTGAACTTTAGCGAATTTATTGCGAATCTCTGACTGACGGCAGTATTGTGGATTAAGGGAGCCAAGAGCTCGTTTTTACTATTGGGTGGTTCACAAGGTGTCGTACGTGTCGTATTGTCGTATGTTGTAAAGTTTTTAACGGCTAAATAAAAGTTTAGAGGAATTGAAACCACCACCAAGTATTTTCTAACGGTGTGAAATTTTATAATAAAACTTGTATGTTAGCTTGCGAATTCCTTAAATATAGTTTTAGCCGTTTAAAGTTTATGACATACAACAGTACGTCGGTATATAACACCTTGTGAACTCCCTATATATCTTTAATTATTACTTTTATTTATTTTTAATGTAATTGTTGTTGTGGAAAAAAGGTAACTCTAAAAAGCTAACTTGACTTATTTAATAGTATGAAATAAAAAAATGTAATTGATGAAAATTGGAAATATGTTCATACCCAGCAGTTTTCGACCTTTTGTTTACTTATTTTTAAGCACTTACAATTTAGATGTAAAATATTTATGTAACACCTAAAAGTTAAGTATGTAGTGGACGATCGCAAAATCTAAATAGCTCGCATGTAGGTATATCTTCGTGAAAAAAAATAATCTAGGTTGTTTAGATGCGACAAATATTATTTTACACGCTTATGTGTAGAAAACACTCTCGCATAAAAAAGTTTATGTACATACATACATACATATGTAAGTTTATATTGTGACAATAATTTATATTCTTCAAAGGTACGCTGATTGGAGTTTTCCTGCCATGCATTCAGAATATATTTGGTGTAATCCTATTTATTCGTCTTACATGGGTAGTTGGTACCGCTGGCGCGGTATGCGGATTTCTCATAGTATTAACTTGCTGTTGTGTGGTAAGTGCTCATTTAAGAATTTAACAGTAGTTATTTATTCCGCTGGTATTTTTTAAACATTGTTGCTCATTTCATGTACATACTCGATAGTACATATTTACTTGTATATATTCCGCCGAAATCCCTAGTTAAATTTTCATTTCTCAATGCTGGCTCTACTTGTATTGAGAAGAAAATCTATTGAGGTTAAGCCTGCAGGTTCTCGGTTTTATAAGCACTTTGGAATTCGCAATATGAAATGAAAAGTTTACTGTATATTTACATACATACATATTCATGTCGGAAATTTCGTTGTGAACTACTAAAAGAGCTAACTTTTTTAACTGGTTTCAAAATTATAGCGTCTGACAGCATTGTTACCCGGGACCCTGAAATCTTTCAAACAGTAGCATGCTCGTCTGCACGCCTAAAATGTACAGTTTGAATAAAATTTCTTACAATGATTCCAACTATTTTGATTTCAAATCCGAGCGAATTTATTTGAAAATTCCTTTTTCTATTTAAAACTTTCAAACGCTATTATGGAAACATGGACTCTGTTTGAAAAAATCATGTTACTTCTTTCTGAGTGTACTTTTAGTATAGCCGAATTGGTATCGTTATTAGTAATTTGACGATATTTAGCAGGGCGGTAAATTTTGTTTTATGACTGCGAGGATAGTGGCAACAGCCAGAGAAAAATTTCGTTTGGAGCTAAAACGGTCGAAAAAACGAGATAAAAAGAGCTAAATATTACTAATAGTAGCTAAAATGAACAGCTACATATTTTTGTTAAGGTTGAATATTTATTGACGTAAGATTGTTTTCACACCTTCGGCAATTTTAATAAAAACAACAAATTTTATAAGTTTTAGTGCTAAAAAATCTGTTAAAACCAAAATTAGGTGCATACTTATATTTCGAATTCGTTGCTATGGCACTTAAACAGTGAACTAAAAACACTTTACAAACTGTTAGAGTCTGTAGTTTCAGACATTTGAATTGAGTAATTTTTCGCAACATTTTTCTGGAAAGTTTTACTTCCAGCTCTCCTTAAACGTAAAATTAATAACGTATAACAAAATCCGCGCTATCAGAAAAAGGATTTTCTTCTAATTAATTTTTAAATTCTTTAAGCTAGATCCAAGAGCTTATGGTGTATATACTGCATCTCGAAATTTTCCATTTTATCAACGCTTAATTTTTGACGTATATATACCAAATGCAAATAAAACTTTCTGAAGCTAAAAAGTGCTAGATAAATTTGAAAAGAACTAAAAAGAGTGCTAGGAGCTAAAACCCAATTTTTGGAGCTAAATTGAAAAAGTCTAAATCTAGCTCCAAAAGTACCAAAATGGCAACACTGGATAGTCGCCAGGAATGTAAAACTTGACTCAGGGCGTTTGTGGGTTCATTGCCATCTTCAGACAAGGTTTTTTGAAACATACGGGAATATTCATTTTAAGCCATCCACCAAACTTTGGCCATGGAAATCAAACCCCAAGAGATGTTACTTAATACGAGTCTGGACTAGTCAGAAATAGTCAGAATCAGTCAGATTCTCTGACTATTGAGAGGACAAAAAAGAAAGTAAATACGGTTCTCTCTCTGTCAGAAGTTACCAGTTTTAGTTCGAGAATTTTTTGCTGGTAAATTCTGGTAAATGTGTCAAACGATCAGCTGTAGTGTGTTTGGCAACCAAATTGTAAACAAAAGAAAAGTGCATTCTGATAATTCATGTTGAAAAGTATTTAATTACTTGTTTAAGTGGATTCTAATGAATTTGAAAGTATTTATGGTTATTTACATGTGTGAGCTGAGTGTGTTTACATACAAAATAAGCAAAAAGTTACAACCAAAAATTTGGAGGTTATGTTGAAGTTGACAGAAGTTACCGTTTTTTACTAGAAAGCGATCCCGTACTTTTCAATGTTACTCTCTCGCTCTGAGCGAATTTTTATTTTTTGACAGTTTTACTAGTTTTAGTCCGAAGAATACGGGATTGAACCTTATATTTGTATGTGCATTGTCTTCCAACAGACCATGTTAACAGCAATCTCGATGTCAGCAATCGCAACAAATGGAGTAGTGCCCGCAGGAGGAAGTTATTTTATGATTTCGAGGTATGTATACATGTTTAAAACATACTTCGCCTAAATATACTACCTATGTACATACATGCATACCATATACATGTATGTCCAACGTACATAAAGGTGTTCTTACACGATATATATTTGCATCTCTAAATGTGAGTTTTACAATACATATGTAATTGCGTATGTCTGTCAAATTCACAGTCTTTATTTAACTATTTAAAAATACGTTCTTTGAAAACGAAATAAACCAAACTCAGATGATTCTACCTGTGTATCAGATGAAAATAGAAACATTTATATTTCGTATGTACGTGCATCTGCTTTATACAGAAACAAATCTAATTTGCCTTTACACGATATGTTGACATTTCCATATGTAAAAAGTGGCATGCACACATGCAAATACATATCGTGTAAGAACACCTTATTTTTGGGCTTTTCTAATATTAAAAAAAAAAAACGTCTTTGGTGGCAAGCAATAGATTTTGGCTTAATGCTCCCTGGTAATGTAATACATTGAAAATGTTATTTCACAGAAAAAGGCAAGAATGTTTATAGTTTTTCTAATTTCTCTATTTTCAATTTGCTGCTAGCTGAACCTTCTTTTTGTACAGATATAAAAAATATTTTTGATTGGCTAGTCAGTACATTTATTCCAAAATTAACTCTTTTGGTTTTACTAATCGGGCATTTGCCAATCTGGCTGTCCTATGAGGCTCACTCGGATTTCACAAGCACATTAAGCACAGAAGGTTTAATTTAGAAAGAAAATGGTAACATAAGGCTGCGTTTCTTTATACATTCCGGATAATCCAATTTCATAGCCGAAATAAACAGAATGCGTTTAAAATATACGTTAACATACCATCAGGAATGTTCTAAAGAATAAGTAAACAAAAAAGTTTATTCCAAACGTTTAGAATGAATAAAGAAATGCAGCCAAAATGAATAAATATTTGGCGCTTACACTCTTGCTAAGCCCGAGGTTCTCCTCCAATTATTTTATAAGAAGCTTTTTCAAGGCAGAAATATGTACACTTGGTGGTTTTCCATTGTCTGCCAAGTGGCGTCCGCTGTTAGAAAAAGCCTTTTCTTTTCAGGTTCTATGGAGTGGTAGTACGCAGCTCTAACCACTCGGCTACAGCGGTAAAACATCGTACTTTATATTAGTATTTCGCAATTTTATACACAAAGCATATCGTTTGTCACCACTGCCAAAGTTTTGTATAGCTTTCCCTCATTTATTTAACCCAAGTGCAAGTCAGTTTAAACCAAAAGCAATTTTTCTCGAAATAAGAAGCGAAGGTTCGGCATTTGACAATTTGGTAAATTCCGCATGCAGCTTCAATGAACTTTTTGAAAAGTTTCAAGGATAATCATACCACGAAGCATTTTTAATCTGAACAACGCCAAGATCTACAAAATTTTGTTTTTTTGCCTTTGGTCAAATTCGATTTGTGTTGAAATTAATTTAATTTGCGTTTAGCCAAAGTTATTTGTGCTTGGGTTAAATAAATATGCGAATGCTTCATTATGAATTTATTATCCTATTAGATCGCTAGGACCAGAATTTGGAGGAGCGGTGGGAATGTTGTTTTATACAGGAACGACACTGGCTGCTGCTATGTACATTGTGGGCGCTGTGGAGATTGTATTGGTAATTAATACTTATTTTTGTTTTGGCAAATGCTTTTTTTAATCCCAAAAATAAACAAGTAATCTAATTTCACAGACATACATGGCTCCATGGGCCTCAATATTTGGCGATTTCACCAAAGATGCGGATGCAATGTATAATAACTTTAGAGTATACGGCACATTGCTCCTATTGATTATGGGTGAATATAGAATCTATTTGTGTACTATTACAAAAAAAAATAATGCTAGTAACTCCAAATTTGTGTGACTAGGATTAATCGTGTTTTTGGGTGTAAAGTTCGTAAATAAATTTGCCGCAGTCGCCTTGGCGTGTGTAATATTCTCTATAATTGCTGTTTACGTTGGAATATTCGACAATATTAATGGGAGTGAAAACCTTTAGTAAGGCCCTAATACACTTCAATTAAATAGGAAGCATACGATTTCAATGGCTTGTTTTTCTTTCTTTTCAGCATGTGCGTTCTTGGAAAGCGTTTGCTCAAAGACATTCCCATTGATAATTGTACTAAAAGTGATACGTTCTTGTCGGACATGTTTTGTGATGAAAACGGATGCGATGAATATTATAAAAGTGCGTTAAACTCTTAAACTTTTGGCGCTGTCTATGAATATTATCTACATTTTTTATATCTCAGATAATAACGTTACAAAAGTAAAAGGTATCAAGGGTCTTGCCAGTGGAGTATTCTATGAGAATATTTTACCATCGTTTTTAGAAGTAAGTTTAGTTTATTAATGCCAACAATCGAATTATTATTGGTAAATACATCAAAAGCCGATAAGATTATAAATATTTTATTTATTTATTTTTTTTAGAAAGGCCAATTAATTGCTTATGGGAAAAATACGGTGGATATTGAAAATTTGGCGCCATCTACATATAATCAAGTCGTAGCTGATATTACAACGTCTTTCACATTGCTAATAGGAATATTCTTCCCGTCAGTAACAGGTAAAAATCTGATGCAAGTGTGCAGATTAATACTCTGTAACTAATTATAACTGCATATATACATAGGAATAATGGCGGGATCAAATAGGTCTGGTGATTTAGCTGACGCTCAAAAAAGTATTCCGATTGGAACAATTTGTGCAATTCTAACAACGAGCACCGTGTATTTATCTAGTGTTTTGTTATTTGCGGGAACAGTCGATAATCTGCTCTTACGTGACAAGTGTGTAGTAAAAAAGTTTTTCAACTAAACTATATATATATATATTTATTGATAAACCGTTTATTTGAAGATTTGGCCAATCCATCGGTGGAAAGCTAGTAGTGGCAAACATTGCATGGCCAAACCAATGGGTTATACTTGTTGGCTCATTTTTATCAACACTTGGTGCTGGGCTACAAAGCTTGACTGGTGCACCACGCTTGCTGCAGGCCATAGCAAAAGACGAAATTATTCCATTTTTATCCCCATTTGCGGTATCTTCGAAACGTGGTGAACCTACAAGAGCTTTACTTCTCACGATTGTTATATGCCAGGGCGGAATTCTATTGGGTACGTATTATGTAGTAGGTAATCCATGGTAAATACTTGGGCATGTAAATGGTATATGAGCAAATCCCATCGCGAAATTGTGTATAAATGAAAACTTAAAAAAGATATACTAAACAATTAAAAATAACCACTCACGCTCATACATATACCCGTATTCGCGTATATAACGTATACGCCCGTAGCACCATACGAAGTCATCTAACGAGTTTACTCGCACGCCTTAACGTAAAAGTCATATTATTTAAAATATATTAAATATTTGCGTTTAAGATTTTAACACAGCATTTCTTATGCATATATATGTATATTTATCTTTTCGTGTATATGACAATTTTAGATTGAATTTCGAGTGCACCAATAAAAATTATAAAAATGGAATTTTAGTTTCTCAAATCATAGTCATCTTTTACGCAATGTAATATTTTTCATTTGGTGAGATACTAGTCTTATAACACTAGATTCGTTCGTTTTGGAAAGAAGAACACTTTCTTCCTTTAATTTTAACATTTTGAAGTAACTTAACTTATTAAAATTGGAAAAACAAAATCGTTAAATTTCAAAACAATGAAAAAAATTACTTATTTTTCGCTACTTTTTCGCATAAATAAACGTTTTAAGAGTAAAATTGTTCAAATACTTGGTATATTTTTTATTGTACTTTTTTCTGGAACCTCACTGATTGAAATAAATGCAAGCTGAATGCTTTAGCCGAGAGAAGGGAGTGAGACTAAAAAAAAAAAAAAAACTTAAGGGATTTGCTCATATGCATACAGTGAGAAATTGAATATGAAAATGAGTCAAAAGCAAGTGAATTTCATTTGGCTATTCTCGTTTTTGAAAACACTTAAACTTACCGGGAACTCGTTTCAGAAAAAAATTAATAAATATAAGGGAGAAAGTGCAGATCGCATGTCCGATTTGAAGTAAATGAAATTTATGAACAAGTGCATGCATGCAAACAAATGCTTTTGCATGAATAATGTACATACGTGTGATTAATCGTATAATAAATATTTTAAATCCCTAAACTATTTCTTCTACTAGGCAATGTTGATCTGTTGGCACCCTTATTATCCATGTTCTTCCTCATGTGTTATGGATTCGTGAATCTTGCATGTGCTGTACAGACACTGTTGAGAACACCTAACTGGAGGCCACGATTTAAGTTCTATCATTGGGGATTGTCTTTAGTTGGATTAACTTTGTGTATATCAATAATGTTTATGACTTCATGGTACTTTGCTTTAATTGCGATGGGAATGGCCATTGTGATTTACAAATATATCGAATATCGTGGGTAAGTTTTAGCATATACATAAATATATAACTATGCAAATACATACCCTGTATACATACGTATTAGGGTGATTGCCTCGGTTTTTGCAAATCAGTTTCCACCGGTTTGTTTGCATATCTATAGGCGGGGTTTTTAAAATCTTGATCTATATATCGAATAAACTATTTTTTCCACTTCATACAATTCTTGACCTCTCAATTAAAGCTTTGATGGAGCGATCTACACTCTTACTATAAATCTACAGCACTCGGCTACGGCAGCAAAAGCACTACTCAAATTCGAAGAAAGTCAGAAAATATTCAATAAAGTATTAAAAATGGTTAAAATAAGAAAAAAAGCGTGAATTTTCAGCGCAAATAGTCTTACTTTTGATCTAAAGTAAAAGTTCGAACTTATTTTTCTGTTTTCTAAATAAAAGCTATATTTAATGTTACAAGTTTTATTGTAATTTTTGGTCATGAATTCATACCAACATAAACGCTTTCACTGTATGAAAACTGTGTAAAATAAACCCGGTTTATCCGGTTTTTTCTTAATTTCAAAATAGTGAACCATTTTTATACCCGAGCGCACTTGTGCACAAGGTTATTATAACTTTGTTCACATAACGGTTGTTTGTAACAGGCAAAACGAATCGAGATAGATATAGACAAATGTACACATAAATGATCAGAATGAAAAGAGAAATCGATTAAGCGGTGACAGTCTGTCCGTTCGTTCGTCTGTCCGTCCATCTGTGCGCACGATAACTTGGTTAAAAATAGAGATATCTTAACGAAGCTTGGTACGTGTACTTATTTCGGGCGTAAGACGGATGGTATTGAAAAATGAGCAAAATCGGACAATAACCACGCCTACCCCCCATATAACGGTAGTTTTCAGAAATACGAAAACTGCCATATTTTCGTAACTACTCAAGCCTATTCACTCAAAATTGATATTTACAATAATATTTAGATGAAAAATAAGAATATTATATATTTTTGGAAAATGGGCGTAACCACGCCCACTTACGATTACATGTGTATATCTTGGTAACCACTAATTTCTCCCAAACTTGGCCCAGTTATTGGCCTTGGAACATCATACCAAATGGCTGAAAATTTTTAAAATCGAACAATAACCACGCCCACATCCCATATAACGGTAATTTAGAGAAATACGAAATCTTCGATAAATCAGTAAATACAAAAGCTAATTCATTCAAAATTTATGCTTGCAATAATTCTTTACCAAGACATACGTTTATGATAAAATTTTGGAAAATGGGCGTGACACCGCCCACTTATGATCACACATATATATCTAGGTAACCGTTCTACCAATTTGTACCAAACGGTACGGTTATTGTGCTTGAGAAATAAAAGCAAAACGTTGAAAATCATTGAAATCGGACTAAAATAACGGCCGCTTTTCATATAACGGTAAATTTCAGAAATGCTCGAAACTTTAATATTTCGAAATGTAAGGACGCTAATTTACTCAAAATTTAGTTACCATGTAGCGGTAGCTTTCGGAAAGGTGAAAAACATATATTTAATACTTGCGCCGGGTATTTAATGTTCGGCTCCGCCCGACCTTAGACTTTCTTACCTGTTTCGATTCAAGTTGTTGAAAGGTAATAATATCTAAATCCCGGAAAAAGCCGAAAAATTAACATCCCTAATATACACATATTATGCACATACTATATACTTACATATATACATATATCATGATGTGACAAATTCCAAACACTTTGATTTTCGGTGTCTCTAGGGCTGAAAAAGAGTGGGGAGATGGAATCAGAGGAATGGCGTTGACTGCTGCTAGATACTCACTTTTACGCTTGGAAGAGGGTCCCCCACATACCAAAAATTGGCGTCCACAAATATTAGTCCTATCAAAGTTTAACGACAACTTCATGCCAAAATATAGGAAAATATTTTCGTTTGCCACTCAACTTAAAGCCGGAAAGGGTTTAACAATATGCGTATCCGTTATTCAAGGCGATCATCATAAAATTTTGAACAGAGCGGTTGACGCTAAGGCATCATTGAGAAAATTAATGGACGACGAGAAAGTTAAAGGCTTCTGTGATGTATTGGTATCTCGAGATATAGGCGAAGGATTAAGTTCAGTGTAAGTTTATCTAAAAGTGTAGACTATGTGTACATCCATACATACATATGAAAATATAAAGAAACTTTTAATATGATGACATATTTTTAGAATTCAGACCATAGGCCTCGGAGGTATGAAACCAAATACTGTTATAATTGGTTGGCCCTACAGTTGGCGACAAGAAGGCAAACAAAGCTGGAAAACTTTTATACAAACCGTTCGAACAGTAGCTGCATGCCATATGGCACTTTTGGTTCCAAAGGGTATCAACTTTTTCCCTGAATCTAACCACAAAGTAAGTGTTTTTATTATTACCCTGTAGTCAAATGTACCAGTTGTAAAAAACCTCACAACTAGTGTGAACCGCATGCCCAACTAGTAAGCCAACTATCTTTTTTCCATGTAATTAACTGGTATTTTTAACATGCGGATGTCCTGCGAGATGGCAATTGTCAGATTTCGGTCAGAAATATACCAGTCTCATACTAGTACAAAATAGACAAAAAAATACTGGACCGAAACCACCACTTGGGGACTCAAAAAATAAAATGAATTCATGAATATACAATAGAAACTTTTGGTTAAGTAAATTTTAAAATACATACTACACATTTTTATTTAGCAGTCTTAGGGCCCGTTTTTCAGTGCCAGTTTAAACCTAGATTCAGTAATAATAATAAATAGTAATATATTGGCGCTTACACATAGGTTAGTGTTTGGCCGAGCTTCTCCTCCGATTTGGTGGTGTGCGCCTTGATGTTGTCACACAAAGCGAAGGGACCTACAGTTTTACGCCGACTTCGAACGGCGACCGCTGTCAAAAAAAAACCTTTTTTCTATATATTTTTCGCGATGTTGCTTTGACCAGGGGTTGAACCCAGGTGCTGCTGAGTGGAAGCGGGCACTGCTTACCACTACACCACAGCGGCCGAGATTAAGTTACCTGAATTTAAGTTGAACAGATGGTTGTCATTTGATTGGCTAATCTTAGTTTAAACCTGCCAAAACGGGCGTTTAAACTTAGTTTAATCCACGGCCCTGCACTGAAAAACTGACAATAGTGCGCCCAATTCAGACTCAAATTCTCAAAACATATTTCAGAGTGATAAAACAAAAAACCTAAATGAAGGAAATTTTTAGTTGTAACTTTCTTGAAAGAAAACTTACTTTTAGCGTATCTAATATTTTAAGCATTTTATATCTGTGCCTTTTACTAAAAAAAATCGGTGCTGTTTTACATTGACATTCAAGAGCTTAATGCTTTTTTAATATAAAAAAAATATGTTTCCTTAATAACAACATTTATCGGCATTTTTAGAACAATGTTGTTTGTTCCTTCATTAAAATTATATCGCTAGCTTAGTGTGAAAAGTTGCTAAATCCACTTTTATGAAAACTCATATTTTAATATAGGAAGCAAAGAGTATTAAAGATGCATCGTTTCGAAAAGGATTAAGGCAATTGTTTTATTTTTTTCTCGTTCATATTCAATGAAAGGAAAATTTGCTATACGAAACTTTTTAATAAAGATCGAATCCTTCTTATTCCTATGGAGTTTTGCTTTGCTTTAAACGCGTAAAATGTTGTATTCATTTATATTGTTGATTTGCAAAATACCTGGAAAAAATATCTATAAGAATTTTTTTTCCTCTACTATAAAATTAAAAAAAAAATGGCCTTAGCAACATTCACTCTAAGCTAGCGATATACATACATATCTACATATCAATATTGTTATTTTTTACTTCTAATAGATCGGTGGCAATATTGACATTTGGTGGATAGTACATGATGGAGGTCTCCTAATGCTATTGCCTTTCCTGCTGAAACAGCATCGTACTTGGAGAAATTGCAAATTAAGAATTTTCACTGTAGCTCAAATGGAAGACAATTCAATTCAGATGAAAAAAGACTTGAAAACTTTTCTGTACCATTTACGAATTGAGGCGGATGTAGAAGTGGTGGAGATGGTAATTTTACAAATTCAAGTGTTGGAATTACATTCTAACAAAATTTTCTTTTCTTATAGATGAATAGCGATATATCCGCCTATACATACGAGAGGACATTGATGATGGAACAGCGAAACCAAATGTTAAGAGAGCTTCGTTTAAATAAGAAAGAAAACTCTAAAATAGTAAGTATGTCATTTTGGAATAATGAAACAGATGTGCATACATATGTAACTGAACGTGCTTATCTTAAAAACTTTCTAAAATTTTTGAATACATTTCACGTATTGTCTGTTTTTGAAAAAAGGTACAGACTCTAGTGGATTTTAAGGAAACCACCGGGGATGATAAGTTACCTTTGGTAAAGGCTAAGAGCAAAAATTAAATTATTTCGAATTTCATGTGTTATTTTTCTCCATCACCTTCATACATCATTCTTAAATACAAAGATAATTGTGCTTTCGAATATGCGAATATATGTACATATGGGTCATTCCATACAATATTTACACCTCAATATTCATGTAGATGTTTAATACAACTATTGCGCAGAACGCAACACTCTTCTTCTCTTTTTAATTTAAAAGTAGTAAAAAAACTTCGGCAATTTGCCGATTTTTTGTATGGTCGTCAATTCTTTTTGAATGTTGTCAGGCTGATATTTAGGAACGGTAAACTCGATTTGCGGCGCTCAGGGGGTTTGGAGAAAAGAGGGGTAGCCCGGTCCTTTCCAACTCAGTGGAGCAGTAATTTCAAGGCCTAAACTAAACTTGGTTAAAACCAGGGCTTCGGAGCAAAGGATTTTTACATCGCTCCTATCTAGCTCCGCTCCGATATTTGATTTCGCTCCGAGCTCCACTCGCGCTCCCAATATTTTTTTATTTATTCATTTAATTACTTATCGAGTCCTAACCGAGATTTTTTTAAATTTTATTTTTATTGCAGATATGCATATACATATTCTAAAAGCATTTTTGTATCCAAAGAAAAAAAAAATAAAATTTGATAACGTTTTTTTCGTGGTTAGGTCTCGATATACAAATGCATGTCCTTTAATGGTTTGGCATATATATATATATATATATATATGATCCCAATATATTTTGTCTTGTAAATAAAATGAAAGATATTAAACCAGTCAGCAAAAAACCCGAAAATGGATCCGAAAAAGAAAAAAAAGTGGATAAAATGCGGATTTTCGAATACTTTGACGATCGGTTTTTCCACTTAAGTGTGCGGCAGAAACGTATGTACAGACAATAACCGGAAATTGTTTTGAAATGGATACGTTTTTCGCTGTTTTTCTGAAATTTTTCTTATTGAATTTTTCATTCAATACGCTTGCATTCTGCACTTCATAAATGCTTCCTCATGGTTTGAAAAAAAAATTAAATAAGGCAGCGCCTGAGGGCAATTATTGCTTTCAAATAACATCATCATTTTCGGTTGGTAAGTCATTGTTTTTTCATCGTCGTTTAAGTTGACGTGGCAATTATCTCTAACTGCTGGGCATTATGCAAAATAGAATGAAAATTTATTTAACACGGTTGTTTTTAGTAGCAAAAAAAAAATTAAGTTAATTTAATTTTCTTTAAAGAGTTTAGGAGCAAATGAATTTTTTTAACTCTTCCCTCCAGCTCCGCTCCAGCGTACGTTATATAATCGAGAATTTATTTTTCTCCATCTCACCGCTTTTAAAAGGAGGTTAAAGTTCCACTTTTTGGTCGAAAATTCCTTGTTATGGTATGATTATGGCAACTCAACGTAACTTACGGCTCTCACTTAAAAAATTCTGTTAAATGGATGTTGCTTATAATTGAACAGCCAAAACGTAACATAACTTAATTCCACGTCGAAATCTGTTTCATTTTGATTCTCTAAGCCAGCGGTCGGCATTCTAACACATTCAAACGATTCAAAATTGAGACTGTTTTCGTTAAATGCACTGCTCAGCTGCCGCTCTTAGTATACGTGTGAAACACACATGTGCTCAGTGAGCTAGGGCCTGCCGACCACTGCTCCAAGCTCTACGTTCCGTTAAGTTAAGTTAAGTTGCCATAATCAGGCTTTTAGCGTTTGTGCAGAACTTTTTAACCCTCCAACGACCGCAGAGTCAAACTCGACCCGTTAAGTTAACGGGCTCAAGCGTTCTAAAAATAATTGCCAGCTTAACTTTAATTTAGATCATCGAAAACAAAAATTATGTTTGAAGCCGATTTATGTATGTACATATGTACATATAAATTTGTGTCTAGCCTCACAGTAGTGAAAATCAATTGACCAGCATACAAAAAATTTGAAGATTTTCCTAGTTTGATTGTGCTATTTATTACAATTTCAAAAGAATCGTCATTTCATAAACACCCAAATTAAATACATAATTAGCGACTTACTCTATATGAGTATTTTCAAATTGAAACAAAAACAAGTAAAAAAATCTCGAAATCAAATCCTTTGCCATCACATGTTGGCAACTGAAATCTCCTGTTTATTTTTAATACATTTTATTTCCAAACTTATTCGATTGAGTATAATGAATATTCCTTTATTAAAATCGATAACTAATATAATTACGACGAACCGAAGAAAATATGTCACATGTACATATGTTAAAAGTTAGTTGCAGGCAGGCTTTTAAAAAGTATTCATTACTTCATCTTTGTTTTGGCATTTTACTATTAAATTTAAATTTTTACCCCATCACGCTAAACAAATTTCTCTTGGGATTAACGCCCAACTAAAGCTAATGATTTCAAAAAATTTGCGTAGTTTCGGTTCTTCCAATAATTAGTTTACATATGGCGTGAAGGGTACAAAACATTTGGCATAGCCAGATGTAATATCTCACAAAAACTGAAGAATATTTAAGACAAACTGATTTACAGGTTCAAACGATTGTTGATCATCATCATGATGTTACAAAGACTTCTTCAAAAGTTCGATTTGCAGATCCAACAATCAATGTAGAAGAGAAGCATGAGAACGTAAGTAATCAACAATTGAAGCTTTATGCACTTGATGTGTTTAATAACGTCTACTATAAAGGCAAGTACGAGTATAATGTACATTCACATTTTTCAGGAAGCCGATGGCGACGAAAAGGCTAGGGCAAAAGAAGCTGAAATCGACTCGCTGGACACAAAATTAGAAAATGGATCGACATTAAATTCTGTAGAAAAGGGACAAAGTGAAGATGAAAAACCTGAGAAAACTATCTCTGGAGGAAATCGAAATACGACTTTAAAACCGTACGTTCGAAATAGCGACTGCACGTTTACATCAGGGGAATTCGCTCTTCGGTGTATTCGTTGTATGTTGTGTAATTGTAACTGCATGATTTGTTGTTGCTAGCGGTACAACAAATACACATGCAACAACAACCACACGCTCGACCAGTTACACGTACGCAGGATACAGCGAATACACAGAAGCGCGAATTCCACTATTGGTTTTTTGAATATTTACATTTGAAGTATGTAATTTGAGAATGGATGTACATGTGAACGTCGTTTTAAAATATATGTATACTTACAGGGATTCAAACAACCGTTCACATGCTGATTTTTTAATATTCACAATGTTTTTCAAGTTAAAATTTTTCTTTTTTTTCTATAAAAATATTGTTCATGCCATAACCAAAATATAAATCAAAATTTAAAATTATAGAATTTGGAAATATTAAACCAAATTTCATTTTTTTTATTTTTTGTTAAGTTAAAAAAAAACCGCAAGATACCGGCAACAAAAAAAAAATATTAAAAATCCACCCGAACTCTAGCTGCCTGAAACTTGTACTTTATTATGCCTTAAAACTGGATACATGACAATTTTCTAAAAAGTCAGGTTAAAAAGCTCTAATTTTTTATGAAAGTTTTATGATTTTTTTTTGTCTATAGATCGCCTCTTTGATTTATATGGCTTTAGTTGTAGCATGAGCAATATATATTTTTTTTTTAATAAAAAAACATTTTTCGCTTTAAAAACATCGTAAATATTAAAAAACTCACCATGAGAACAGTTGTTTGAGCCATTGCACGTACATATACTTGTATGTATGTAAATATTTACTCTGTTTTTGAATAATATAAACGTCATAAGATAACTTTTAATTCGTAATTTTACTTAATTACAGTGACGAAATCAATGTTCGTCGAATGCACACGGCAGTGAAGTTGAATGAAGTTATTGTAAATAAATCACAAGATGCCCAACTTGTTATAATGAATTTACCTGGGCCTCCGCGGGAATCTAAAATCGATCGTGAAAGCAATTGTAAGCTGTTTATTTACATTATGTGGACATCAAACGGGTTTACTTAACTATTTGCCTTTACAGATATGGAGTTTCTAGAGGTGTTAACTGAAGGTTTAGAAAAGGTGCTAATGGTCCGGGGAGGAGGTCGTGAAGTAATAACAATCTATTCTTAAGGATCTTAAGGCGATTAATGTTTTGGTAAATAAGGCAACTACCAATATCAATCAATTTTTAGCGTAAATTTTTGTATCTAAATACAAAAAAACGAAATAAATTCTTTGTTACAACAAATGCATATTTTCTTAGAGATGTGTATGCAAATTATTCCCTTGGTGCATCAATGCTGATCATAAGCAAGAATGATAGAATACAATATTGCGCATTCCTGCAGGTGATGACGTCACGTTCGCAACGAAAGAGGAGACGGAGGAGACAAAAAAAGGCGGCGGCCGCCATTTGTAAACAAATCGTAGTTGTGTTGTTCATTCACTTTTTGAACAGAAAATTGAAGATCGAAGAAAAATTTAATATTACGCCCAGAAATGGCGAAATAAAGAAGAATAATGAAACACTGAGCTAGTAGACATTAGTAAAACGAGTTCTGTCAAATTCGCCAAAATCAAAGTAGCGGTACTGCTGAATGCGCCACTTCTGTCTCTCTACATCGTGGATCATTACCCTGCAAAAATCGTTGGACCATGTAGTCTATGTGTGGTATATTGGAGTACTTACAAAAGTGTTCCTCTGTCATGCTGCAGCGGACCAACTCGTGTCTCTGCAGCAGCTTATTGTTACCCGATCACTGCTCGTGTTTTAACGAAATGTGATTGAAGTTGAGCATTTGAATGCATATTTGCATGTCTGGCTATAGCTGAACGCGTAGAGATGCTCGCTGTTAGTTGTTAGCTCCCAGCATGTCCGGGTTCGAATGCCGTCGGATGCAACATTTAGTTTTTAATTTTTGTTTTTGGTTTTTATTAATTTCGAAAAAGCATCTGTGAAGTGAAGAACAAAAGCGTGTTCAAACGAAAAAATATAACAACAATGCCATTTTTAATATGTTGGAGTAGTTTTGTGCTACTCTGCTGTAATGCAGAGGTGGAGTATATGGTCCTGCCCTAGGACATCGCAATGTTAATTGGACCATAGTTTTTATATGAATTGTGGTTAATTTTGGAGTAATCCTTGGTCCTTAGGGAGTACTCTTTACACGCATACATGGAGTAGTTGCACTTTTTGCAGGGTTAGCGCTAACCTATATGTATACATATGTACATACAATGTATGTACGTATCCTACAAAAAATCTTTTATATGTGATATATATATACATACATACTAGGGGTGTTGCCAATGTGGAATTTTAGATATCCGCGGATGCAAATGCGGATGCAGATGTTTAAAAGCTAACATCCGCTGATGCGAATGTGGATGCGGATGTCAAGTATTTTTAAGAAATAATTTGGGTGAGTAAATTTTGTGATTTAGTTAAATAAAAAATGGAAAAGATAGTAATTTTTAGCTAAACTTTTTCACATTCCATTTGATGTTTATTTTGCTGCGTGGAAATTTTGACAATTATTACAAAATTAAAATAAATGTTGTTTCTGAGCGCACTCCTCGTATTTGCATAGTAAAACTGGTCAAAATATTTTGGTGTGTTTTTCTGCTAAGTAATAAAACAAAAACACGGAACTTAATCATAATAAGCCCCTTTATGAAAGAAAAAATTGGTACACTTATCAAAGAAAATGTAAAATAAAAACTAGAGATGCATCCAGTTTTTTCAACAGACCTTTGGCAAATAATATTCGATAGTTACATAATTCCTACCAAATTAAAGGTCATCTTTTAACGTGCAAATAGTCGATTCGATTTATAGCTAGACCTTGAACATTTCCGCTCGAATTACCTATTGAACGATCTTACTCTATGACTTTAAATTATAAAAGAAGGGGGACGTACGGGGAAAATTTTAACGTAGCATCTCCACGGGCAAAAAATATTGGCTACAATTTGTCATTTTGTTTTGCAGATATACGTTTTATATCAGTGCACTTGCACAATATTTGCATTCGCAAAATTAAAATTAATGCGGAAGCTCCGCGGTTGCGAATGCGAATGCGAATATTCGCAGCAACCCGGATACATAAATAAATATGTATGTATCTATCTTGATAGTTTTGTATGCGGTATCTTTTTTCTTTTTGGTCGTTTTTGTTTCCGACAGGGTGGATATGTGTATTGGAAGAAATTTCCAAAACGAAAAATTGTACTGAAGATGGGACAACGCCGAAATCGGTTTGTTTCCAAACCAAATTTAACAAGGGATGACGAAATAATAATAATTATAGATTGGTGCTTACACATATGTTAGTGTTTGGCCGAGCTTCTTCTCCGATTTGTGGGGTGCGCCTTGATGTTGTTACACAAAGGGGAGGGACCTAACGGCGATTGTATTCTTATGAGAAGCTGTTTTTCATGGCAGAAATAAACACGGAGGTTTGCCATTGCCTTGCATTGCATTGTTAAGAAAAAACTTGTTTTCTACATTTTTTGCGATGTTGCTTTGACCAGGGCTTGAATCCAGGCCCTGCGGAGTGGAAGCGCGCACTGCTTACCACTACACCGAAGCGGCCGCCGGGAAGACGAAAATTCATTCCAATATATGATATACTTTTTCTGTATGTTTAAAAAATATTATTAAAAAGCTCTAAAAGAGGGAAAATATTTTACCAACCGTGTGACATTTAGAAATAATTTTTGCTTAATATCTACTGTAAAGAACACCGGCACAGAAAAACGCTTGAAGCCACCACGCCGTTATCGACGTATTCGACTCCATGCATACAACAGGGAGTCGGTAACGTCGATAAATATGTTTAACCAGAGATTAGTGTTAACCAAACATTGAGTAACCGACCCTAAACATTGAACTCTATCGGTTTAGAATTCGAGCCTGTAGCTCGTTTCTGTAACTCTTCTCAACCGATTATTTTTCTATTGGTAGATAATATACGTCATTCTGTGCTACTCATTAGCTACTGAACTTAGAACTGCTCTACCACCTCCGGTTTTTAAATATCTTAATCTTAAAAAAAATAACTTGTTTTTATACCGCGATGTCTGAATTTGGTATCCCAGCGAAACCCTGCGGCTCAGAATTGTGAAGGACTCCTCCGTTTATACCAAACGAGGTTTCAGGCAAGGTGACTTCCTTTCGTGTGATTTCTTGAATCTGCAGGCATGCAGAAGTAAACCGCTTAGGTACAATCCTTTAAGACAATTGCTGGTATATGATGACCTGATCAACATCATCAGTAAAACCGGAATTAGACAGGGAAGCAGAGTGCGTGGGTCTGGTGGTGAACGAGGACAAAACGAAGTATCTCCGAAGTGTCTCCGCACTAAAAATTGTTTAAAATTAGTGTCTAGCCGCCAAAATGTAAGAAATAGGGATGTTAATTTTTCGGCTTTGTCCGATCCCGGGAATTTCCGGATGACGTCACAATCCCGGGATCGTGGGATTTAGATATTCAATACTTTTCAACAACTTGAATCGAAAAAATTGCTTTTATATTGTTTGAGAAGCTCCCCTACCATGAAATAAATAATAATAAATGGGTTTGAAACCTACTTTTTTATTTAAAGCAGCGTTTTTACTTTTTTTCTATGGATATATTTTGAGGGGCTATGTAATTTCAAAGATATGATTAATTCCAAAAATTGTTAAAAAATTCAATGCAATGTATTTATAATAAAAATATTCGGTAATAAATGCAGTCGGAAATTTCTGGGGAATTTAAAAATTTTAATTTTTTGGATTCACAAGGACGAATACGTAATTTTTAAGCTGACAAAGTTAGAAGAACGAAACTCAGGGATGTTATCGAGTTTATATAAGCCCTTAACCGCGTATCAACAAAATGCAAAACCGCGTATCAAGATAATGCAAAACCCCGTATGTGAGGTTACATAAATTATTTTCTAGAGAGTAAAAACATTCATATTTCAGAATGGTTCTCTTTTTTTATCAAGAATTCGCATTTCTGGCTAGTTTATTTTAGGACGACCGGATACGGATTAATCCAAAAGATTCTGTGAGCAAATCCAATTTTTGGCAGCCAATGTCAGTTACGCGATTTCGCAGAATGACGATACGCGGCTTTGTACTTTAAACGACGATATTGCGAAATTTCAAGGATAAAATTTTCAATACTTACCAGCCCTTCTGCACCAGAAACTTGAATCTGTTTAAATTCTACAGGATTTCCTCATTAATTTTATACCCATACTTCTTCTCTAAGCACATTTCTCTGATTTTTTTAAAATAATTTTTAAATTACTGACGTCAGAGTGAAAAACTTAAAATGCAATTTTACTATATTTGGCCCATGGATTTTCGAATATATTCATATTTCTGTTTAAAATTTACTAGCGCGCGGTGTTATATGTATAATGACCTAGACATTTATAAAAAAATATTAACTATTAAATAAAAAAAGAAATATAGCCAATACTGGTCAAGAAAAGGAGTTTCTGTTATTGCCATCAGTGCAAATTACATATTCCGCAAATCCCGGGATTACTTGCCAAGAATCCTGGGATTTTCGAGACCTTAAAATGTTCGGCATCCCGGGATTAACATTCCTAGTAGGAAAAC